TGTTTATGTCATGGAAAATAGAGTTTTTGAGACAGAAATTGGATTCTTTAAACTTGGAAAAGAATTTAATTACCTACCTCAAAATCATGCTGAATAACAAAGAACAAACTTCTCTAACATTGAAATTATTGGTTTTCCAAATACTGCCAATGAAAATATACTCAATATAATTCAATCCATTGTCTATATATTAAACTTAAGTATTAACTAATAAAAATGAAGATATTGCTAATACTTACAGATTGAAAGTTGAAACTATATAAAAAATATTGATGGTAAAATAATAGCTACATTAAGTTCCATTACCTTAAAAGACTATTATATAGTTAATAATATGACAGTATAAGAATAAAAATTTGTTAACTGCTAATAATAATACTTACTTACTAACTTTCATGATGTTAAAATATTTATTAACTTACCAACTTACAAAGAAAAACAAAAGATTATTTTGATTGGCAAAAGACATTTCAAAAACCTGGTTAAAAAGTCAAATTCTGGTAGAGTTTAGTTAAGAAAACAAGAAGGTTAACAAGTTAATAAACTACATATTACACAAATTCTTTAAAATCTTGATTCAGATAAAATAGTTGGTGCACTTTGGGAATATTATAATATTCTTTGTTGCTTTTGATATAATTTTTTTGTTTATTCATTTATTTTTTTTTTATATTAATACTAAAGTAATAATTAAATCTATGTATAATAATACTATACATAGATTATAGTATATTATACTCTCGCCACCGAGAGACCGCTACTGGGCGGCTACCAAAACTTGTCCGATCTTGCGCATTCCCATCACTAAATCTGCCCGTAAGCTGGGCACTGTCGTTGCTACAATTACTATATGGAGAAATTTTTGTACGAGAACGCGGAGCTCGGTTATTTGGATGCGCCAACGATTAGCTCTCTCTCGGTGGCGGCAGAATAGCTATAATAATATAATAGATGGTGTATCGTATGCTGTGGGTGGGCACAATGGATTTGAAGTTCAGAAAAGTGTTGCAGCATACACACCTAGTACAGGAGTTTGGACTACTATTCCAGACATGCATTTGTGTCGACTAAATGCAGGTAATTACTCATATAATAATTCTAAATTATTTTATGAAACAGTTTTTTTAAATATATGGAATTTAAGTTAACATTTTAATATAGGAGTAGTTGCACTAGATGGTGTCTTGTGTGTCATGGGAGGAAGAGACTGAACTAATAAATTGGATTCTGTAGAATTGTATAGCCCCACCATCAATACCTGGACCATGGTTACAGCGTCAATGAACGTTGCACAACATTATCCAGGATTAGTATCTAGGTAGTAGCCATTAATAAGCCACTTCGTTTTAAAAGATATTACCATACTTAGGTAATTTTTTTTTCTGTAGTTATAATATCTTATAATTGGCAATATATTTATTGTTTTCCTATTCATTTTAAAGTTTTGGAAAATTTTATTAAAATGGAATTGTACAATTTAAATTGACTAAACATAAAATAAACAAAGTTTAAAAGTGTATAAAAGTATAAAATGTTTGTATTTTTTCTTTGTTTTCAAGATTATAGTCAATATGTTGGTACAATGTGTCGTGTACCTACCCATTTTATTTAATTATAGATATTTTATAATAGGTACCTAATATCTTATCCAGAAATACTTTTCTAAATTATTGTTTTTATACTATTTAATATGCATAAATGTTTTTAATGCATAATACTTTATATATTAAACATGTTTGCTCTAATTTAAAAAGTGAATGCATATATTGTATATATAAATATATATAAATGATAAAAGGAAAGAAAAACCATAAAAAATAATTTGTTAATTATTTATATTGGTTTTGTACTCTCCAGCTTAGTATCACTTTAAAATTAGTAGAATTGGAAGTTCAGTCACAAATCAATATTTTTATTATTTAATAGAAATTAAAAATATTTATTTATAAATATAATTCAATAAATAAAAAAAATGTAACAATAGAAAACACTTGAGGCACTTGGACATATGAAAGACAAATGTTGATAAAGAAATTAGATATTTAAACAAAGTAAAACGCTTTTAGTTATTTTGTTGTAATTCAAAAATGTTTACGTTTATTATTATATTTTATATACATAATGTAATTTTCAAAACATTTAGATTAATAACACTTAAATAATATGTAGGTAGTTATGATAAGCATTTTTTTTTTTTAATTTTTAATTAAGAATATATTATACAAAAATTGGTACCTATGTCCTATTTATCATAATAAAACAAATAGTTTCAACATATAATAAATATTTTATGAGCGGTTCGGTTCCCTAAAAAAGTAATTCATAGTATACTTCTTTATGAAAATTTGGTACAAACACATGAAAATTCGATCATCGAGATTTTGAATTATTGTAACTTGTGGCAGAAATTTTTACTGCCACAATTTTGATGACAGACAGAAAAAAACACATCTACCTACCTATATCATTGCGTAAATACAATACATTCTTTCGCTCCGCTCAGAATCTAAAATAGTAAAATGTACCAACTGTTATTAAATTATATATTTATAATAAAGTATACAGTGTAATCACCATTTTAGGTACCACTGAATATCTCAGATGGATGACTTTGTATTGAAATGGGGTTTTCGAGAGGTGAAAAGGAGCCCTCAAATACTTATTTTCAGACCAGTTTAAAATTTTTAGCTCACTCGGTACGCGCATGCGCCATACAATTTACTTTTTTTTAAATGGCAAACCCAGTTTTTTCTCCAGATTCGGATAGAGTTTTTTTTTTTAACATTTATTGTATAAAAAGTTTTTTCTATTTTCAAATCCGACCAAGTTTGAGTAAGTCAAAAATTGGATTTATGCATAATTCGTGTTTAATGATATTTTCATTTATAACCAATGGAAATAATAAAATAAGTGCCAAATAAATATTTAATGGGGGACGGAGTGGCCGAGGGGACTAAGGCGTCGGTTGTGACACGCACCGTCGCCGGTTCGAACTCGGCCACGGGCGGAATGTCTTCTGGCAGTCACGGTGTCCAGAGAGAGGCCGACATGGAGACACCCCCCACCCGGGCATAGCAGATACCTGTGTGTTTGTTTTGTTTTGGCAGAATTTTTAAGTGGGCACCTGTAGGTATCTGCCATGCCCAGGGGGGGGGGGTGGATGTCGCTATGTCAGCTCCTCTCTCCGGACACCGTGACTGCCAGAAGAAAAATGCCACCCGAAGCCGAGTTCGAACCGGCGACGGTGAAAATACGCCTTAGTCCGCTCGGCCACTCCAGCCCCCCATTAAACATTTATTTGGCACTTATTTTATTACCTATTTCAAGTGGTTATAAATGCAAATTGTATTAAACACGTATTATCATAATATTATTATGCATAAGCCCAAATTTTGAAATACTCTAACTTGGTCACTTTTGTAAATAGAATAAAACTTTTAATACAAAAAATTAAAAAAAAAAATATTCTATCCGAATCTGCATGAAAAAAACTGGGGTTGCCATTTAAAAAAAGTAAGTCGTATTGCGCATGCGCGTACCGAGTGAGCTAAAAATTTGAAACTGGTCTGAAGACTGAAAATATATATTTGAGGGCTCCCTATCACCTCCCTAAGACCACATTTCAATACAAAGTCACCCATCTGAGATATTCAGTGGCACCTACCTAAAATCGTGATCACACTGTATTCCTTAATGTCGTATAGTGGTCAATTAACAACTTGCTTTATTCAAAGTTCATCCAAAGAGAATTATCATAAATTAATTGTTGAATATTGTAGGTAGGTCGTAGGTAGATATAGGTTATTATAACGTATATTTTCATCGAAACCTGGACAGTGCTGCGAAATGCGAATGACTATAATACTATATTGATAGGTGTTGTCGGTGTTGAATGCTGATGAACAAATAGTTGGGCGTATTAATGATATTATTTTATTATCTTCGGATTATAAGTTTGTAAAATCGTATGAATTTAATTTTCAGCAACATTTTTTTTTTAAATACATATTAATGTCAAATGTATTCTAAGTATACAACCACAATTATGATGATTATTGGGCATTTTATAATTTTATATTTGTAAGGGACAGGAGCGCTAATACCTCTCTACTTAAACTTTTGGGGGGGCTCGAGCCATCTAGTCCCGATTTCCGTTTATACGCTATTAGCCGTATCTCTCCGTTTATTTAAGTACTGCTCAGCGAATAAATATCTACAATAATAAAAAAAATAACAAGGGGGGATGATCCATCATTTGACATAATAATGAAGCACATTATCCCCCTCCCCATATATAATAACTGTCGCTGGTATGTTTGTACAAAACAATAGTTTGATAATATTATTTTATATACCTATTGCATTTAATCAATTTAATGTCAATACAAAACAATACAATATATTATTATAAATACCTACGTATCAGCTTTTATATATTGAACATTAGCCGGATTGACCATTTGGCATGTAATATGTGTTTATTAAAGACAATGGTACCTCAGAAGTGTAGGTTAAGAAACATCGCTTATGATTTTAACCATAGTAATATTGGTTTAAAAACAATTACCGGTATTATTGGTAACCACTAAGGCACTACAATAATAGGTACCACTATAATAGCCACAGACAATATTGCGATGGATGAAAAACTTTAAACTGGAGTATCATAATAATATAATATTATATAAGTATTATTGTTTATCGAGTACCTACCACCTACCTACCTACCTACCTACCTATATAATATATTATATTGAGCATTAAGTGAATTCCAAACATGTATATTGTATAGTGACCAGATTATGTACAAGTGTTTAATGTACAATACATTATTAACTATTTTTATAATTTTATTATTAAATTGGTGTTCATTTTTTTTCATATGTAAATTGTAAATATATAATTGATTCATATATATTGATAATTTATATTTTTGATTCGTAAATATTATATTATACGTATACATTTTTTTCACTAATTCAGTCATTTCAGTTTACAAGATGGCTACAAACGGAAAGTATCTAAATATAAGTAAGTGTAATTTAAATTCTAACATGTTAGGTAAGTATTTATTTTACATATATTATTTCATGATGGTCAACAAAGTTAACGAAGTACCAATATATGTGTATATTCAAACAAATGTAATCAATTAAATTATTTATTTACCAAATAATATTTATATACCTAATAGGAATATTGTGTAATACCTAATACTCCTACATAGTACATTATAGGTACCTATAGATCAGGAATATTCATGAATATAAATCAAAATTTAAACTTTCAGTTTGATATCTATTTAGATACCTATTGTAGTTACTAGTTAGGTAGGTACCTTTGTAAAATATTATTTTTAATGCTTAAAACTATTATCATGTACCTATAGTTAAAATAGCCAATATAGCCAAAATTATTATTATTATTTTTATTATTATTATTAATAATTTATTTTTTTTTTATGGAGCTTGAGCCAGGAAATTTAGGCCATTAGCTGTGGGTTGTTTTTTTTCTGTTTGTTTGATTGTAGGTTGTTAGTAGGGGGAGGAACGGTTGAAAACATGTTTTGTATGTGTGGCAAGGATTCGTTGCTATAAAAATCCCGGATGGGTGACCCCATCCGGGAACTAGCAACGCCGGCCGTTACGTACTCTCAGTGAGCTTCTGCAGTTGAGTGTACGCACTGTGCCGCACCAAGCCACCATTATTATTATTATTATTAGTAACTGTAGAGTGCGTAGACTGTAACCTGCAGTGCCCACTGGCAACCTTATATATGACAGATTTTTTTTTTTTGAACTGAAAATAATGTATGTGTGAGCTGTCCTTTTGCTACATAATATATGGGTGGAAATAGGCTTACAACATTCTCCACGATATACTCTATTATTTAAAAAAACTGAATGACTATCGGATGAGTGGTTCCCGAGATCATTGCCATCAAAGATTCTCATTTTCGCATATTTTATAGATATGCATATGTATAGATATTGTCTAGGTATAGACGTATACTTACTCAACGTATATTACTATATGGTGTAGGTATTGTATACCTATTACATTATTCATTTTTTTAGGTATTCAACCGTCGAAACTTCCACGGACTTCTAAAGCCATATTTGAGGTACGTATTAAACATTAACTTAATTGTGTTACATAATATTAATATGTGTATATTTATTTAAATACATTACAACAATACACGCATGACAAGCCAAAACTAGGTATAGGTACTGACTTCGGAATAAAAATTCCATGCACGTCCTTATACTCTTATCGTTTTATTGGCATTTGGAATATAATAGCGTGTTTATTATAGTTGCCTAGAGACAACTTGAGTGATGCTGAACTCGGCGGAAAATCGACTTCAGATAGAACCAAACGTCGTGTGGCCCACGATGCGTGGTTTCCTCTGCCGGTAATCCCAAGGCTTGCAGTAGCTCCGGTACAGGCGGTTGATCAGCCGAATCCGATAAAAAAGCATGTCTTAAAGAAGGAAGACGTATGTATCTATAAATTACCTATTATAAATAATAATTTATCCAATTTATTACTCATATTTTATCTATATTTATACACCCATTACATAATACATTTAATGACCAGATTAAGAATATAATATTATTTCTACGTGTATATAGGTAGGTACTTACTTTATATTATAATATATAATATTAACATGTTATGTGTAATATTGTACATTGTACTTGCAATGATTGTTTTTTTGAGAACAATAACATTAAAATAATACATATTTATCACGGCTCAGAATCTAGTAGGTACCTATTAATTTTATATTAATATAATAATAATAATATGTTTGCAGTTGGTATGTTGCAATAATGTTAATTACGGTATCTAATATTGTATAAACGAAATAATCTGAATTTTCGTGTTTATATATTTACCTACCACCTATACCTACAGTGCACCGATTTTTTGTATAAATTAACAAATGTACCCAAGTATTATAATAGTATCAAATATACCTCAACCATCATTTATCAATGCTAGGTTAAACATTTACTCTCCAATCTATGGGATTTTTTAATAAAACAGAGCTATTCTCCTGCAGTCTGCGGCGAGACACTGTCTCATTTCCGGTGGATATTAAATTAATTAATATTATTCAACCAGTAAACCTATTCAGCATTAATATTCAATTTTATTCAGTATTTTTGTAATGAAAATATTCCTATGTTATACTCTACTCTGGCCTTAAGTGTTTAAAGTTTATAGGTAGGTACCTACAAGGTACAGGTAAATTTTTTACCTTATACGATAATGCAATAACAGTAGGTAAATGGTATTATATTTTATATTAGGTACTATAATAGCTAATATTATGTTTTATGTAGGTAGGTAAATTAATATGTGGTATCCTATAAGGTTTTCAATGAAAAATATAATATTAATTTTTAATTTTTAGAGTTTCTCGCACATAAAACAAAGCAATGTAAGAAATATTAACGACAAGGTTGATTTGGATTCAAGAGCCCAACATAGCAAGTCGACAAGTTCTGGTATATAATCTTAGTAATAATACCTTAATACGTATTTTAGTATTTAATTAAATATGATAAAAATTAAAGAAACTGGGGAAGTCTTTAGCCGCTTAGCTGTATAGAAGGTTTCGATTTTCAAGAGTATTTTTATTTTATCATGATGGTAGCAGGTAGGTAGCTCGAAAGTATAAATTATAAATGTATAACCTATATATTATGTAATGTGCATATAAGTCGACTCTCGGTAACTCGAAGTTCAAGGGGGAAAAAACAATTCGACTTACTAAAAATTTCGAGTTATCAAAAACTTTTAAAAGTATGTTTATATTTTTAAATAATTTTTACATAAAGAATAAATCTTCCTTACCTTCATTGCCTTTAATATATTTGCGTAATATTTCTAATGCAAGAGTCGCTTCTTTATTTGTAATGGTGGCATAGGCGCACATTGGGTGTGAATTTAGGGGGTGCTGGAATAATTTATGGTTCACAGATCCGTGGGGGGCTTTTCCCCCCACACCCCCCTAAATCCTAATATTTCTGCATTGCATTAGATTTAATTTTGTATAGTGTATACAATAATATCTAAAGTGCAATGTATCAAATAGTCTGTATGATTGTAAAGAAGACGCTAGGTACACCCACATGTGTTGTCTCCGTATTACAAACGTAGGCACAACATATAGGCAAAACTGTTTTGCACGGGTATAAAAAACATTCAGGGCTCAGGCTGTACACTAAGCTAAGATAGAAACTAAATGTTCACACTATAAAAATGAGAAAATTTACTGTGTTTTATATTTCATAAAATTTGAAAACAATATATTATGAGCCTTCTATTATATTTTTAAGCTTATTTATACCCAACAAATAAAATTTTATTGATACTTATAGAAAAAAAGAACTAAAAATGTCCGTAAAAAGCTCAAAATAACTCAAAATATTTAGAAAATTTTATCATGTATAGAAAATGGAAATATAAATAACCAGTGAAAATTTCATATATCTACGGTCATTTGTTTTAAAGTTACACCAAAAACCAAAATCAATTTTCTCAAAAACAGATTTTGAGTAAAAATTCCCGTTTTTCCTTAATTTTTCTTTTGTTTTTCCCGACGCTTTTGAAACTTACTGGGAAATTTTTACTTTTGACCCCCCCAAAGTACCAACTAGATTCATTTTCCTATCAGAAAAGTTACTATTGAAGAAATCCAAGCACTTTTACTGTCCTAAAAGGTGATGACAGACACAACAAAAAAATAAAAAGAAAACACACATCATTGTAAAATCAATACATTCATCGTTCCCCTCAGAATCTAAAAATAATTCATTTTTAATTTTGAAACTATAAGAACTTTTTTCGTATTTGTGATATCGAAAAATTAAAACAATGTTGCACAGTCAATGTTCTCCTCTTTCTAGTAGGAACTTCTAGTTGGTTCTTATCCGAGCAAAACCGTTTTTTTATGTTTTACATTTGTAAAACGGAGACCACACAATGTAGGTGTAACATCCTATTAATAATATTTGTCATTCCGAATTTATTCAATTCAGCGTGGCCCACAGAATAAATAAATATATTAATAATAACCAAAGTTATAAATAGAACATTTCGTAGCCAACCGTAAGATAATATAATTTTCTACAATGATATGATATAATATGATTGCTGCATACTGTTTAATGTTTTGACAAAGACTGAAACACCGAAACATGCATTCACACAATACTGTTTTAATCGTGAATTCGTAAACAGTTGTCAATATTTGTAATGAAAAAAAAAATTCCGAACCAATAAACCACGATAGTTTATAAATGATTGAAGAAATACCGAAATAAACTGAGGGTGCTAGTTTGAAGCTTGGGGCTGCTAAGCACCCCCAAGCACCCCCCTATGTGCGACTATGAATGGTGGATTGTATTTGTTGGTCTTCAAATACTTCTTCATCTTCGTCCAATATATCGTTCTCAGTCTATTCTCCACAAATCTCCAAATTTTCATCGACATTGACGTATGATATAAAAGTTTCATTAACATTTATTTTCTCCGTTAATTGATCCCACTCGTCGTTATTATCATCCATTTTTTAAAATTACATCTTTATTTTTTATTATTGCAGACAATGTACTTGCTGGAATTCCAAAATCGTTGGCTATATCTTTTTTATTTTGCCTTTTTCAACAATTTTAAGCAAGTTTACTTTTCTGCAAGCGATAATGTTGTTAATTTTCTTTTTTGAGCCATAATAAACATTGTATTAACACACGATAAACGATTAAACGAACAGACGGAATAGGACTAAACTGAAATCTATTGTATGGAGTTATCAAGGTTTAAGTTACAAATATATAGTTGACTATAATGGTTGGTTTTTACAAAACAAGTCATAAGCGAAAAATAATCGCTTCAATAAACTATTACTAAATTTGGATAAGATAATTCGAGATATCGAAAACTTGTCAAATTAATTTTCGGGCTAACAAGATTATTTAAGCATTAAGTGTTATTGTTATTTGAAGGGGAATTTTATTTATATCAAGAATTTCGAGTTACTGAGAGTCGACTGTATATAATATAATATTACATATATAAAAGTATAAATGTGTTAAAATTGAATTCAAAGATAATCACATACCTAAGAGGTAGCCGGTAAGCACCTATGTAGTATGTAATATGGATAAGAAAAAATAATATTTTGAATTGAGACATTCTGAAAGCCTCTATTTCTAAGGAGTAAGGAAAATACTGATATAATATACGTACATTATAGTATTATACGCATAGGTATAGGTCCTGGTTCCTACATATAAATTAATCATTCAATTATAAACCTATATGAATAGGTAGGTATATGATACCTAATGGCTAATACATAGTATAGGTACCAACTGAAATAATATATCTTGACACAACTTTGTAATTGGTACCTGTACCTACAACCTACCTATAATTTTAAAGTGTTTATGTAATACCTGTCTATTTTCTAGGAGTTGATGACAGGGATAAGGCTAACAAGAGAAAGTTAGGAGACTTAGAGTCTGACGAAAAAGGGACGAAAAAGAAGCAAAAAAAAGGCAATGTTGACAAGTCAAAATACAAAGACGTAAAACAAGGGAAAAAAGCACACCGACGTAAAGGTATATCGAAATTTGTTCCGAAATTCGCAATTCACATCTCATTCCTCCGCTATTGATGTACCACTCCCCCCCTTGGGCTTTTCACCACCACATGGGAGGGGTTGAACATCATTCCCTCTGTGGATTTGAAATCCCCCCCCCCCCTCAGAACTAGGATATATCCGCCACTGCCTATAGGTAATGAATAGTTTTGAAGTATATTATTATTATTATTTATTATCTACCAGATGCGTATTTAAGTATTTTATACTTATTTATTACTGAGTATTAACCTCTCTTACTAATTAAAAGTTATGTTTCTGTCAAACACATAATATATTTTGGTTATTTGGTTTTAAATTATGACATAATTTTGAGATGGAAAATAATTTTAATTATAACTTATAGCTACATATAATTTTAATTTTTGTTTGTGGTCTAACTAAAAGTAATTAAGTAATTAAAACTTACTAAGTAATTTATCAATATAAATAATTTGTAAAAATAATCCAAGTATAGTATAAATACTACATCTAATATTACTTAGTTTTTATTTTTGTTAACCATTTTTGACGATTATTATCCTAAGTATAAACATTTTTGTAGATACCTAACTCGGCTAACTCAGTAACTATTCATTAGAATTTTCATTTAAATATATCAATATTTTCAAGGAAACCATCCGCTAAATAATTTGCAGTAAAAAAGGGGGTTTTCATTTGAAAAATAAAAGTTTGTATCGCATAGGACACTCTTAAAATAATACAAAAATATCAGAAATTTTAAAATATGGTTTTCGGGTATACTTAACAATTTTAAAAATCAGAATTTAAACAAACATTCTATTTAAGCGGAAAATGGGGGTGAGTGTGCTTAAAGAATAACCTAAGTAGTAAGTAGTGTAACTTGTAAGTAGGTTTAAATGTTTAATGATATTTCATTAGAATTTAGATTTATTCTTAAATTAATTTATTAATTTATCTACCTAACCTATCAATATTTAGTAACAATTATTACATTATACATTTATTTGCATATTATACATTTCATTTAAATTATACTTATATAGAAACATACTCCAAAACATCTGCAGGCAGTTGATTTAAAATTAAATTTAAATACACAGATAAGGTCAAATATTTGTTTTAGGTTTAATAATATACATAGGTAGTTGTTTTTAAGTATTTATGCCATTGCCAGTATTTTATTATGTACATACCCATATTATGTAAAATATTTATGTTCTTTTAGGTTTAGCCTAATGTGGACACAAAAAGAAATTTGGTGGCCTAAAGGTATCAACAAACCATACAATCAGGTATTAGCCATATGACAATATTGTCCCATCAGATTTAAGTTTCAGTAGAAAATCACAGTATGTTTATGTAAATAAAGTATAAATTGTTAACTAAAATAAAAATTTATATTCTGTATATTTGTACATATTATTCTATTCTACTGTCCACATTTAGATAAATATATTTCTTTAATTAACAGTGTGGTTGAGCTAAACCGTCAGTACTAAATATTATCATATATTATATGAAAAGCAAATTTAAATCTGACTTAGGAGCTATTGACTAATTACAGTGACAAGAAAAATATAATTATTTAATCTCTTTTTAGTATTATAGTAATTAATTTTTATTGAAATAGTGTAAGAAAAAAAATTATTAAGATTTTTAAAAAGAATTCTAAATGTACAGATACATCAATTCAAAATTGAACGTTCAAGAGAACAGCACACATATGTGATATTCCAGTGATACATATCACTCAGACCTTGATACTAATCTGTAGAGAAATTTTGTTTTGGTACATATCAAACTTGTCTTTTTTTAGAAACCTTTTAATGTGAGATCAAAATATTTCAGTGATTTACTAAGCACAGCAGAACTTCAATTATCCAAATGTCAATCAACCGGAAGAGAAAAAAAAAGTATGGTCTCTTAATAACTCGTAAATCATAATCGTATTTTGTTGTTCCTCATAATCGTAATAGATATAGGTATTCTTTCGATATGAATAGGTTTTCTTAGTAAGTCAGTTGTAGTCTAATCTTTCGTACAGTTTAGTCTGTCAATCGTTATAATGTCATATAAATATGTAATATGTCATATGTCAATCATCCAAACATTTGCTTATACGGACCACTCTTGAATTAATTAGTCCAGATAATCGGAGTTCTACTGTAGTACATATTTTTTAGCTAGATAATAAATAACAATAAAATTATAAATTTAATATTCCCTAATTTCCAAAAAACAATTGATATCTAATTAATTTGTTAACATAAACCTTTCTGAAACTAAGTAGTTAATATGAGATTTGTTTTTCATAATGTTTGCTTTACAGTAATCCATCATTTCCAATTCGTCTTTAACTTCAATTGTCAGTTTTTCCAATAACATAACCATTGGCTTAATTTGTTCTTCAACTACCCTGTAAAATTATATTCAAAAAGTTAATAATAAAATACATTTTAAAGTTTACAATTTATAGTTTACCGCTGTTGTAAATCAAGCTTTTCATTAGTTTTTTCAGTAAAATTTTTCCAGTAGTTCAACTCTCGATTCATCTGATCGATATTTTCTTGCATATTGTTGATAAGTTTACTCAATGGATTTGCAGACTTTGTTATGCCTTGAATGAATTGCCTGATTGTATCCATTTCTTTAGTTAACATCTCTTGATCTTTAACATTTTTTCCTTCCCATTCCTAAAATAAAAAAGTTAAGATATATTATGATAATTTTTCTAATCTTTCATAGCTGGTAATTCACTATAATTGTACAGGGGACTAATATTTAAAAAATATTTTATTGCATACATAGGCTTGCACAGGATTTTGTGTCTGATACACCACATATTTTTAACTGGCCTGACAGAACAAATAAGCTGCTCACATTGCTCAATGATTTTCCTAACTATGTCATAGCCAGAAGGTGCGTGATGTAAAAATGATGTAATTATTTGATTATAATAATATGATAGAGTATTAACGGCATCTACTAATGTGTACCAGGGGCGGACTGGCCTAATGGTCTACTGTCCTAGGGGATAGTGAGCCGCTGTCTGTAAGTGGTATAAGACATCAATACATAAACATAATAGGATTATATATTTATATGACACAGAGGTGTGATCAAAGTTTAATAGTGTCATGGTTCCAGTTTCTATAACGAATAAATCATGAATGACTCTTTAATTTGCCATTATATTATTTGGGGGGAAAAATATTTTGGTGGCTAAGCCCCCTCCTTCTAGCTCAAAACTAATTACGCCTATTGCCTATGGTCAAAGCAGGGCCACTGTTATATATCTGGGATAATGGACATTGTGCATAGTGCCTGGATTCATGAGTTATCAACTGTCAGTAGAATATGTACATTGTACATGGTAGTGTCCATATATGTACATTATACAAGTGACTTCTCATATTGATAAATAATATTTTTATCATTTTTCATTTGATCAACATTGAACATTCATATTCTAATTTAATTTTAAATTCAATTTTTTTAAATGATTTATTTTATATGAGCTTTTCAAATAAATTGTCAAGTGCAGCAAAAGCACTATTTGCTGTGCCCGTCCACACACCATGAATGCACATCAAAGTCGTTCTATACGCTTGCAAAAATCATCTCACCTTAAAAACCATGAAAAACCTAGCTGTGATTTATTTTAAACATCCTCTATCATACATATATGAGTGTGTAATATGTATGTGTTTTAAATTAGCATTTGTTAACTATAACTTCAAAGAGATAAGAAAGACAGGTAGATGAAAGTTTTACATTTTAACTGACTTTTTTTGTAATATTGTACTTATTTTTATTTGCGCTCCAACTATATTTTAATTTATGTTACTATATATTTATTATTTATAGTAGCGATCAGTTGGTATATTTGGTGGTTAAATTTTCTGTTTATACGTTTTAAGGGGGCAAAATCCCTTCAACCTCCCAATTTTTGTCTATAGTACAAGAACCAATATAATTAAAATAATATTTTTACATACTATTTTTGAAGAGTCTGTCTTCTTTTTAATATTAAATTCCAATTGTGTTTGAAGTATTTGTGATACAAGATGACCTTGTCCATCTTCCTAAAGATAATATAAATTTAAGTGTTATTAGAAAATGAATTAACCATAATTATAAAAATAGTAATGTTACTTGGGTATAAGAATCATAAGTTGACTTATTGTCATTTAATACTTCAATTGTAACAATATTGTCATCAATGTCATTTATTTTGTCATTGTTTTTTGAAAAAAAACTGTCTGAATGTTTAGGAATCCTAAAATTGTAACAAATTAAAATTAATAAAACAAGACATATTATCTAATTAATCAAAATTGTATTATTTACTCTGTAAATGTATTTGATTGAGGACGACGATTAGGCGCTGGTGGTCTTGAACTTTTTGGCCTTAATGGTTTACTAATATTATGCGTTTCACTTAATTTCCGTAGTGGATTCTCTTCTGGATTAGTTTTTTCTATTGATTCAGAAGCTTTTTTTTCTGTTTTAGATTTGATTGCTGATTGTAATTTGTTTTCAATTAGTTCTCTAAATCATACAGTAATATTTTAACAACAATATAAGTAAATATAAAGAAAAAGTTTATAAATTACTCAGTTTTAACAGAGCTATCCACAATATTCTTTATTTCTTCATCAACTGGTTTTACACTGAATTCTCCATCATATTTTGTTGTTGTATCCATCTCTATACTAACGGGTTCATCGTTTTTAACCACTGACGATTCCACACTATCAGATTTTTGTATTTTTTTTTGGGAATCATGATCAATATTTTCTTTTACTTTTTTTTCAAGTGATTTAGTTTTTTCTAGAGATTTGGTTTTTTCCAACAGTTTTGACTTATTTTGATTATTAATTTTTGTAGTTTCTGGTTTTTTAGTTTTTGTATTAGGTGAAATTTGTTCTTTAACCTCTTTATTCTAGATATAAAAGTATGTTAAGGTAATAATTTTTATCATATATAATAACAGGCACAACTAGAGAGGGAAGGGGAAGGAGCTAAGAAGAAGATAAGTACGACCGAACGTTTAAGATTCTGGTTTCTATTTTTTCATTGGTTAGTGATTAATAATCCAATGTCCTCAATACCATAAAACCGAAAACTTTTTGTCTAGTTGCCCCTATGGCCATAAAGGGCACGTTATAGTTACATTTGTTGTCTCTGTCTTACAAGTGCATAACATAGCACATATTCAACCCAGTAGATCACATTTATCTCTGTTAGTTTAAAAATGTGAGTAAATTGACCTATTATAAAATTTAAAGGTAAGATTATTATCTTGGCAATGACATAGGCTATTATTTATTATAATTTAATTTTAAAGCGAGTTATGAGTATTTCAAAATGTACAAACAATTTACAATTTTAAAATACTCATAACTTGTTTTCAAATTAAAATATAATAAAAAGGTCAATTCATTCCAATTCTTATAATGGAGTTAAATGTGATCTGCTCAGATTACAATTTGCTATATTATGCACTTGTAAGACGGAGACAACAAATGCCACTGTAACATCCTCTTAAGAGGATGTCCGTGCACTTTTTATTTTCTCTCTCAATTCCACGCTCAATATATCAAATGTACGTTTAGCAGTACCAACCCTATAATGTTCCTTTTTATATTACAGTGAATTCATCTACAATCAAACTTTAAGTTAAGAATGTTACTTGTGTCGCTACATTGGCTATTTTACGATATTTTAATTTTATATAAGTTATGAGCATGTAAAATACTACAAATTAAAAGTTCTTATAAATTGCATAGAAATTAAAATATCGTGAAAAAGCAAACGTAGGGACACAGATAATGTTCTTAAATTAATGTTAGGTTCTGCCAAATGTAAATTTTCTATTTTACAGGTGGGCCAGAGAGAGAAATCCAATGGTACACTGATACCCTCTTTAATAATAAAATATATTTTACTTTTATTTCTATTCCAAAAACAATCGCTATAAGCAACTCCAAAGTCTTTGTAACTTCAAGTCCTGCAACAATTTTAGAGGGTCTTGCTGATATTGTTTTATTTGTTGTTAATTCTGGAAGCAAAATATTGTTATTTAAAATATAATATTATGTAATAAAGGAAGCAAAGTACCTATTAAATACATTTTAGTTATTTGAGAATGCAGTATGGTAATAATTAAAATATGTAGAGTACACTTTTTTCTCACTATGTTTTCTCATATGGAGAGGTGCTCAGAAATATTTTTAAAATATTCAGTAGTTATACATTGAATACACAACTATTATATTTTTCTACTTAGATGATAAAATATTTTAGCTGGATCTTAATTTTAATTCTTCTTATAGAACTTACGAATGGCAGTTATAAGCTTTTCTAAAAATTTGATTTTAGTTTCTTTTGTAGTAACATTTGTAGATATTATTTCTTCATCAGTGAAAACATCTGTTAAATAACCAGTACTTTGGATAACCTGAAAAGTTAAAATAATCAATTAAAATACTTCCTCAACAATGGGTATTACATTATTCAATATTTCCCTATGATATCTTGTTGTTTAGTGCTTTTGTGCATTGTTGTATTTATAAAGAATATATACTATTTATATTATGTATTGTTTAATGTAACCCCCTATCATCCAAGCAATGTTGCAAGGTAGTAGGTATTAATGTAAAATAAATACATTTTAATTAAATAAATAAAAAAAAATACCTCAAGTTTGAATACCTACCATAAATGTATTATGAAAATAATGATATTAGTATATAACTTGTAGTAAAAAAATTGTATTTACCTACAATAATATGCCTATTGACAAAAATAGAAAAACAGTTTGAATAATATAATTGAGCCATTCAAATTATTAGTAAATACACATTAAAAATAATTAATCCTATATTAAATATATAAAAATTCTAAATAGAAACCATTGGTATTTATCAATTCCAAAGTAAAGAAGCATAAGTAATATTTTGAATAACAGACATTTGTTGAATCAAGTATATAAATGTTAACCTTTTTTATTTTTTGTTACAGTCAAATAATTAATACAGTGGATTCCGCTTAATGTGGGCACGTTGGGACCAGCCCTGTTTGCCCACATTAAGCAGTTGCCCATTAAAACCGAAATTAGTTAAAACAAAAAACTGTGTTGGGACCTGACATGTTTGTCCACAATAAGCGGATGCCCGTATTAACCGGTGGCCACATTAAGCGGAATCCATTGTACTTACATTTAAATAATTAATACTTACATTTGTTACAATATCATGAAGAAATTTGAATGGTGGTTTATTTAGTAGTTTTTCTGTTAGCTGCGGTTTATTTATATATTTTGATAGAGTTAATTGTACTCGTTTTATAAGTTCTTTATTCACAGAATCAGTCATAGCTACTAATTAGTAATTACTAGTAGGTATGAATCTATTAAATAGGCAGACTACCCTTCAATTTAATCACTAGTTTTACATTCAATATTCCAACTTAAAAACAAAACCCCTTTTATTGTTATTTGTTATTTAAAACCTTTTAATAAAATAAACTTTATTAATAAAAAGTAACTTGAGTTAATAATTTACATGAAGTAAGATAAACTTAGTTTATACTTTATGATAATTTATATTTTACAATGATAATATACTTAAACATTTGATAAGACTAAAGTGGTAAGTTTTATTGATAAAACTGTTATGACAAGGGATGTGTTAAAATTAAAAATACAAACCACCTATCAAGTATCAACTATCAAGTGGCAGATCATCAAGGTGGATAGCCGGATAGGTAGATATGTATTTCATAAATTATAAATCCACCTTGGTATTTGATACGTCTTGATGAGATTCATACTATATAATAAATAATAACCATAAATCAATGGTAAAAGTATAAAACATGAATTTAATATATTGATTTTTATATACACTACCTATATTAGATTCTGTGTTTAAAAATGATAAAAACAATTATTATTTATTATAAAATTAATATGGCATTTTTATTCTTTCCTTTTTTAATTTCTTTAACATTTTACTGAACATATCTCTTGCAGATCTTTGATTTGAAACAATTGATTCTTTTCTGTCAATCTGGCTCTTGTCTTTGTTATTCATTTGACGAATAAATATTTTTACTGTATTTTTCGATTTAACAATAGAATTACCCAATTTATCATTATATTCATCTTTAAAATTGTCTGTTAGTAAAGTTTTTGAAGTATTGGTATGGTCTATACTTTTACATACACTATTATTAAATTTTTTCTTTCTCTTACGTTTTTTTTTAGGTTTTTTTGGAATTTCAGTTAGATTATTATTATTTTCTTGTTCTTCATTGAGATAATATTCATGTTCTTTAACTAACTCTCCATTTTGCTGGTTGATATTTTCTGATGTATTTATAATACATTTTTGTAACTGGTAAGTTAGTTCTTCACAATGTTTATCGATTATCAATGGCTTATTTATTTTAACGTTATCTGTTAAATTATGTGTCTTTAACACTTTACAAAAATTCATTAATGAACATGGTTTATAATCCGTAAACGATGGATCATACTGGTTAGTTATTTCCAATTGGTGTGCATCATATTCTTCATTGGTAATAAACTTGTGATTAAGAGCATATTTTAAATGGTTAAATCGTAGTTGAATTGCATGGCGATCAATAATACCTTGGTCGTATAAATTTTTCCAGTATTCAAAGCTTTTGCCCACAATGCTGTAAATATAATTGAAAATTATAGAGCTACAATTTTGATAGAATTCAATAAACATATTTATAAAAAATAAAATACCTACCAATATATGTATGTATTATAAGTACTAAATTACATTATTTAAATATAATATTAGGTATAATATATAGTATGTAGGATTGTTACCTTTCGCTATGAGCTAATATGTCCATAGTGATAAAACTATAGTTGGTATAAAATTATAACAATTATTTTTAAAAACAGTCTCTATAATAAATATTAATAGCATATACTAAGAGCAAACGGACGAAAAAAATAGTTGTGAATTACAAACATTTTAAAATGAAAAACAATTTAAATAATTTAATGAAAATTGCAGAAATGGAATGGCTATGATCTGTAATCAATTACAATATTATTTGGAAATTGGAATTATAACGAAGATAGGTATTTACTATTTGAAATTTTAAAATAAAAACCATAAACCATAATAGTTCTATTAATTCATCTGTCATGCAAATTTGTAAAATTGAATTAATTGTAATAGGTAGAAACGAAAATTCTAGGGTAATAGAGTAAAATATAATAGAGTAGAGCAGTAGAATAATATTATATTATAATATGATAAGATTTGATTATAATATCACAGAATAAAGATTATTCTGTGATAATATTTTGTACAACGGTCTTTATCATTTGATAACCCTTCTCCTTTTCCTATTTTCTTTTTTTTACGAAATTGCATTTTTTGCGTTATCTGTTGTGGTCATTTTTTGCTTGGGATCTATTAGGTGTGACGATTTTTTAAATATTTTTTGCGGTATCGAGCTCCACAGATTATCTGCTTGTTTCTCGTAATTTTTTCCTATTACTTTTGCCATTTCGTGTGTTGGACCTATCGTTGACTGTAATCGTGTTGAAACAAAAGATGTTCGTGTGAACTATACGTCTATACCGTTGTAATGGATTTGTTTTCCGCCGAAGTTAACGCTGTTGTTGTTGTGCGTAATCGTCTTCGACGTAGTGCATCAAATTAAAAGTACTACCTACTCACTTATTGTCATGAAGCTTTATTTTGTGGGACAATTTTAACTTTCATATCAAAGGTATTGCACAAGATTCATTAAATATACATGTGTAATGTTATTATTAGATTTAATTTAAAACAAAATATTCATCAACTGGTTGAATAATAATAATAATAATAATCAAATAGGTATTTATTGATGTTGCATGATACTTTTCTGTTAATAATTTTTAATGTAGATAGCATATTATTTAGAATTTATGATATTATTTTACCAACTAGATACCGATCACCTAGAACATCAATATTTTATGCAATTAGTTTGACAATACTTATTGTTGAGAAAATATATTACAATTTTTTGAGTTGTTTTATTATAGGTAGGTTAAGTAGCATTGTTTCACAGACTAAACTGTCATTTCTCTAATACTTGCATAACGCATATTTCATATTTGTTCTTAGTTGAAAATTATCGATTTGCAAAGTTTTAACTTTTTTTTTTTTTTATTGAATTGGTAACTTAAATATTATATATTTCATTAAATAAAAAAACTACATATTTCCTTAAAAATAATTCTCGTGCTTTTAATTTTATAATACCTACCTATATTAAATTTAGTAATATTTGTTGTAATCACGGGACACCATAGAAGTTGAAACATACTATTTTAAAATATTATATTTAGTTACTATTCAAAGAATGATTTTTAAGTCCTTAACATATTGATTCTATTTGATCACTGGCGTTCATAAAGTATCAGAATATTAAAGTATTTTTACAGATACCGTTGGTTGCACCTTGTTATTATATCCATATGGCATACACCATATTGACTGTCATAATTATATTTATTTGTGTATGTGAATATTTTCCTTGGCGTTTGAATGGTATTTTTGAATGATGATGTAGTGCAGAAAATTTCACATCTAAAAAAATATTGAATTAATATATGGAAATATGGAATGACATCGAAAATAGAAAGTGGCTCTGTAGGATACAGTAATGCGACCAACGACAGTAAATGTGTTGATAGCTTAAAGTGAAATCTAAAATTTTATTTGGTAGGTTTAATTGAAGTAGATACATATCATACCTATTATGTAGGTACTTCAATTAAGTTGAGTATTGATTTATATTTTCCATCTAGATGCATTTTATTTAAAGTACATCTAAAAGTCAATGTAATTTTACATAAACTTATTAGACATTATGAAATATCCTCGGAAATATCTCAATTCAATAAAATATTAATATTGACTTAGAATATTTATTTAATATAAATTCAATTCAATAAATACTCAAACGACTAGTTTCAATGCGAAAATGTAATTCATTTTTAATTTGTAGCAAACGCTACACATTTCCTGCTTAATAAATACAATGACCTGTTAAATTAGGTTACAGATTAGTCAAAACACATTTGTTGTTTTGTTACCATGTTAATATTATTATTTTAGTATTAACTTATCAGAACACTGTACATTTTATTTTATAAACGTAGGTACCAATAAATACAACACTGAAGGTATAATATACTTAAGGTACATAGGTACCTTAGATGTTTAAGAGAATATCTAAATCCTTAGCTTAAATTATAGATACAGGTGTTAAATATTTTATTCTTAATTGCATATCAAAATAAATGTAGATACTTAAAAGCGAGCCTAAAAGTATAAAGTATTTTTATTGTTATGAATTAAAAATATTAATAGTAATGAAAAGAGTATGCAATCAATTTAATACCTAATGACTAAAAATTAATTAATTTTACTTTGTTAAATTATAATTTCAGCAGTTATGGTTCCATAGCAGTAACTTTATGGCAATATTTAAATTGTTTTTATATTTTAGTAGCCTATTAATTTCTGCCATGTATTAACTAGTTTATACTCTCTTAACTTCCCTAGTTGTAATCGGTATCTACCTAGGTATACCGTATACCTAAATGCATTACTTAATTATTTGATATAATTAAATTTCAATTTAAAGAAAAAAAATAAGTTTTAGTTTTTATATCAATAGTAGATAAATGTGGAGATTTAAACTTAGATAAATATAGCTTTAAAATATATTTATTTTTGTAAATGATTCAATCAAATAAAACAATTGCCTAGGTATCTTTTATATCTTTTTATACTGTTGAAAATAAGAAAAAATTTGGCAGCTGCTAAAAATTAATCTTAGTTTATGCATTCCACTAAATGCTACTCATAGTTAACTGAATGTTTTCGAGACAACTGACAATAAATGTTACGACACAGTTAGAAATTGGCTATTACGGTGACTCATTTTAGAGCAACCTGTTTGTACTGGGAGATTTGATATGGATTCACAAATCTTTCGAAATATTCTGCCAAGTGCTTTTTTTTTGGTTTATTTGGAAATACATTTAAGAACTAATATACCTGCATAAAGATATTCAATGTAGGTACGAACAATAGGTACGGCCATTTCTCAAAAATCATAAAACATATTTGTTAATTTAATTTGCCTGTTTAAATGATTTGTTTAGTATAATTGTCTTGAAATAGGTACCCATTATATTATATAATTAAAAAAAAAAAAATGAATTAGGTATATTATATTAATAAGTCATTTTAGAGGTTTTTTCTGGTAGGTTTGTGTAACAGATAGAATAAAATCATATACCTATTATTTTTAATTTTAATTTTAATCGTTTTAAGAGTATATCATACAGATAGGCATGTGTTGTCCCCATATTAGTGTATATCGCTATATCCTATATCAAACCAACAGTTCCAATTTTGCCTTGTTTACTAAAATATGTGATTAGTGGATTGTACTCTTATCAAACTTAAATGTAAGGTTTTAACATTAGTTTTTTTATGATATTTTTATTTTTAAGTGAGTTATGAGTAAGTAGGTACAATATAATATTTAAATTTTTAAAACAATTCTAATTTGTTTATAAACATACAACTGAGAAAAAGTCTTTGTTACTAATACATTAGTAGGTAATTTAGAAAAAATTTTTTTTTAATTTGTTTATAACTAATATTATCTAATTATTAACTAGTTTAACTGATATTTACTATAAAATCTGATTATATTTTAGTTGAAGTCAGTAAACAAATTGAATTTGTTTGTAGACATTATGATTAATTAGGTAATTCAATTTTTTTTAAATCTTAGGAATGATGTAACTGCTTAAAACATGAATATTAATTTAAAGATTTGTGCAGTAAAAATTTAAAATATATTTTTAAAAAAGTTTTTAGAGTACCATACAAACTGTGTTGCATCTCGGTTGCATCTATACTTTATAGCTCAACTGAATATATAAATACAAAATGCGCTTGGTTGTAGAACCTTAGAGATTTTTAACTCATTTTAATTCTTTGGTTTTTACTCATTTTAAAATCTACCTAGGAACCAATTTTAAGGTTATTAGAATTTTTTTTTAAGCCGAGACTAATTGTCTTAGGGCCGTTCTTACAATGTCCTGTAAAGTGTTGGTTAACGCTAACCGACTGATAACAGATTTTATTACCGGCAGAATTCGGCCGGTTAAGTGTCGGTTAACTTTAACTGGACATTGTAAGAACGGCCCTTAATAACTAATAATAATATAAACTATAATAATAACTGGTTGTAGAAGCATCATGAGAATAAAATAATATTTAGTATATAATGGTAGGTATACTTTTTTTTTTTTTGATTTTTTTATTATAATACAATTATAAACCTTTGAATTCTGAAAAATAACTTATAACTCAAGCTTTATACATTTTGATAAATTATGAGATGATAAAAATAATAAGTTTCAATATTTGTGTTTTACATACCTAAGTACTAATAATTGTTGTGTAGGTACCTAGTACCTAGGTACATATAGTTTTTTGATTTCGAACCATAAATATGGCATGCCTATTAACTATTAGGTATTATTTATTTATTTACTTTTATTTAATCAATAACTGTTAGTTTTGGAACTCACCAGATGTATCACTTTTCTGTTCTACAAAATAACATTTCTATTTCTTATGATATCCTGCAACATCTTTATATTATTGCTTCTTCTTTAATCATTTAGATTGTAACTGCACCACATAATGGCTTTGATATTTTAGATTCTGAGCGGAGCGAGGAAGCTAGTGGTTTTACAATGATGTTAATTTTTGTTTATCCTATTAAAAAAATTTCTACCAGAAGGAGTACTTCGA